TGTGTGATCGACTCAAGCATACCAAAACCTTACTATTACTTTATATCGGGTTCTTCAAATATCAAATCATTCTCCCTCGGCCATGATCACTATGTCTTTATTGCTAATTACTGAAGCATGAGAGGGGGACGTAATCGGGGATGACAAACTAGTGGGGTTGTGATTGAACAAACTTCTTTACCTTTTATATCATCATTGCATCCACACTAATCAGCCTCTTGAATAGAATTTGGTAAATAGGGTTATCCTTCTACAACTCAACACATATATAAAGATAACTCTACATTATTGCTTCCATCAAGTTTTGGCTCTGATAAAATTCAAGATGAGTATGATTAAATGCTTCAACGACTGAAGGCTTCCCTCGGAATTTTTTAGACCAACTCTTGCTCAATCTTTATCGATGTTGCCATAGCTAGAACGCCTTAAGTTCAAGAATTAGGAACGAGTTCACACGTGAAAGGCAATCAATACTTATTTCCGCATTACATAAATCTCTTTGTAATATGATATCATTGTCAATAGTTCCTGATCCCATGTTTCTAAAAAATGCATTATCAACCCTTCTCTGAATCTTACTCTTTGGGATATGCTATATGTTCCGTAATTTCCAAAACAATTTATCATCTATGCATAAACTTGCAACAAACCACAACTATCATGTAAGCTTTTATCCTACTTATTTTGTCTATTAGGATTTCAACTCAATAACAACGTTTAGTGCGGGTCTGGAATTTGAAGGCACCTAGTACTTAATGACTAACACTTCTTTTAACTTCGCTTCCTCTAATACCCTTTATTAGTAGCACTCACATTTGGCTATCCTCCACCTACTCGACTTCAAGAATGTCACCTCCCCTCCTTCCAAACATGAATGCTCTACTCGTGAACTAGTTAAACATTATCATGTGTCATCCTCATCATTCACTATGCATCAATCTCATCTTGCTTATGAGTTAGTTCATTTTGACATTTAGATTCACTATTTTATTACTTTTATTGGTGATCATTCTCAAGATACTATAGTATATTTATTAAAATGCCAATAATAAGGCCTTGATTTGTTTCACGCATTTTATAAACAAATTAAAGTTCATTTTTATACATCGATCAAAGTTCAATATACTGATTATGGAAGACATGCAAATCTAATTCCAACCTTTTTTGTTTTAAAAATGACAATATATAACATCTCTTTATACCATCAAGATACATATGTTTCATATAAATATCTGGTTAAATTGGGGAAACACGATCTTAATAACCTATTAATTGTATCCCCTTTACACCTTAACAATTAATCGCCAATCAGCATTCTTTTTCTCATTCTAACCAAACTTTCACGTACCACATGCCTTAATTTATTTGTGCTTTTTGCCTACAAGATAAACTCTCTCATTGTGCCACTAATTGTGTATTCTTGGGTATTCCCAAACTCAAAAAGGATATTGATGTTATGATCTTCTAACCAAACATCTATACACTATAATTAACATCACTTTTCATAAGAAAATCCTCTTTTTCCTACCACCACATCTAAGCTTTATCTAGTGCATTTAAGCATGTTTTTATTAAGTATTTAACCATAAAAATAGATATAAACACTATCATCTAACCACAGAAAAGTTGTCACTTCAAAAGATCACAAATTAACTGAAAAAAAAAGTTTCTTTAATTGAAGTTATCTTCTAAGAATAGTTAAATTGAAGAAAAGTTAAATGAACTTAATATCCTCTTCGTTAATGTCCCTACTACAAAAACAAAAGAACAACAATAATCTAACCCCAAAATTAACCCACTAAAAGTTTATCGAAAGAGGAAAAAACCCATCCAAAATCTCCCACAAGTTCAAGCTTCAAAATATTTGACAGTAACTCGTATAACCATGATCAACTCATTAACACAGCTCCTCCTTTATACCTCATTAACATTACACATTCTTTTAAAAATTTTCTCCTACATATAAAGCCTTCCTTACTAGTATTGGCTAATTTAAGCTATCTAAAATTAATAACTTATTATTATAAATATTGTATTTGAATATTCCAACTCATTAGAATTATCATCGGCCTCAAAATTTAACTCGTTTTTGCTCGAAATACTACAAATCAATTATATATATATATATATATATATAATGAGTAGTATTTTTAAAAAATTTAATTGACTACAAGGCTACAAAGATTTATAATCAATTAAAAGTATTAATGAAGAAAATAGAATAAAAATTATTAAATTAGATTCAAGTGATGTTTTAAACCTTGCCCCAATCCTTAACATTTTATGGCTATGTGATTAAGGTTGTTAAAACGACTCTTTGTTCATGAACGGCTCGTATTCAGCTCGCTAAGCAAACGAGCCGAACACGAACACACTTTTTTAACTCGAAATATAAACGAGCTTACACGAGCTGAGCCTAGGCTTGCTCGTGTTCGGCTCGTTTACACCCCTAGCTCCAACACAACTAAAACTCTAAAATTATATTTAAAGCATTAGTAAACAAGAATTGAAGTTATGGGAAAAAGTACTTGAATATAGGTTATGAGTAATATAAAAATTTGTTACAAGCAATTAGGATTTATATCTGGCAAGTCTAGCGTGGAAGCTATATATTTATTGAGATGAAAAAGTTCATAAAAGGTAAGGAGAATCTACCTAAGATTTTTGTTCATTTAGAAAAAAATTATGATAAGATTCCAAGAGAAGTACTTTAAAGAGTTCTCAAAAAAAAAAAGTGTTCATATTTATTATATTCAAGTTATTATATATTAAAGTTGTTACTTGTATTTGAACAAAAGGAGAATTGACCAAGTATTTCCTTATTTCAATTGGATTAGATTTGGGATTGGGCTTAAGCACATATCCTTTTGCTTTGATTATAGATGTTTTTACTAGATATTTATAGGAGGATGTACCTTGGAGCATACTTTTCCCTGATGACATCCTTCTTGTGGAGAGTTCGGAAAAAACATGAATCATGGAGGCCATCTTTAGAGTCTAAAAGGCTTTCGTTTAAGTAAATCTAAAACTAAATAAATGGAATATAATTTTAGTAGTTTCAGCTCTAGTGGTTGGGTTATAACAATTGGTGATCTATTCATTACAAGAAGTGAATGTTTTAGATATCTCGGGTCTATTATTCAAAGTGAAGGTGATATAGATGGGGATGTTGTTAGTAGAATTCAAGTTGGATGGTTGAAGTGGAGGAATGCATCAGGCCTATTGTGTGATAAAACAGTACCGCTTAGTCTTAAAGGAAAATTTATAAGATAGTGGTGAAACTTGCAATGTTTTATGGTGCAAAATTTTGGCCTATAAAAGAGAAGCATAAAATTAAGTTAAGTTTTGTTGAGATAAGAATGCTCAGGTGGATGAGTGTCTTTACACTTAAAGACAAAATGTGAAACAAATATATCTGCGAAAGGATTGGAGTAGATCTAGTGACAGACAAGATTAGAGAAGGTCTCCTTAGATAGTTTGGTCTCATTAAACGTCGACCATCTGATAACCCAATTAGGAGTGTAGATGTTTTAGATTTGGCTTATGTTAAAAAAGGTAGATGTGGATTTACAAAAACTTGAGCAAGTTGTATATAAAATAATCTTAATTTATTAGAATTAAATGAAAAAATGAAACTTAACAGAACACAATGGAGAATAATAATTCATGTAGTTGGCCCCACTTAGTGAGATAAAAGCTTCTTCTTGTTGTCGTAAATAAGAAATGGAAAAATGACATGAGAGAAGTGATGAATGCCTTGAAAAGCAATCACACATGGGAGATAGTTGAGCAACCAAAAGGGGAAAAAAATTATAGGATATAAGTTAATTTACTCATTAAAATATAAAGCAAATGGAGCTCCAAATAAGGTATAAAATAAAGTTAATAGCAAAAAAATATACTAAATCCTATGGGATAGACTACTATGACATAATGAATATTATTTACATATTAATCTATTTTGGCGGCAAAATTTGGAGCAATAATATAATGTAAAATTATCTTTTATGTGGAAATGTAAAAGGAGTCTAAATGAATCATCCAACGGGATTCAATAGCTCTTTCAAAAGAAATCAAAATGTGCAACTTAAATTTAAAGATTTATATTGATTCTTTCTTAAATACATTTATTCTTAATATTTTGCCTTTTGCACTTATTATGAATACTTATAAAAAGGCACCATTACTCGATGAATAAGATTATACAGTTTTCTTCACCTCGATAATAATAACTTCCTCTATTTCCTTTGTTTCCTAATTTGACACAATACAAATATATATATATATATATATATATCATTTTATCGTTCTTTAGTACTTAGCCTAATGTATAACATATTTTAAAATGCTTACTCAGATTTTATAACTATGTCATTTGACAATGTTACAAACAAAATATGAGTCCATGATAAAGAGGTTGTGCTTATGAAAGTGAGGGTTTTGCTTGAAGCACGATATGAAATTCCCACAGAGGATGAGAAAAATATAGGAACTTCCGATAACTGCATTATGCTAAGTTTCCAAAACTTCAAAATAATTCAGAATGCAGTGACAAACGAAAAAGCTGCTAACCTCAAAGTTCAAAAAATAAAATTCACAATTGAAACATCATAAAGTAGCATAAGTTTGTTGTATCACAAATCCTATGAAGTACTATCATTGGCTAAATCAATTGCTTTAAACACTACACATTAACCTTGTAAAAATTCTATATTCCCTTGAATAAAGTAAAAGAAAAAAGAAGTTAAATTAAAAAAAGACATCTTTTGATGGGTATTTTGTTCTGCCAAAAGAATTTATAGATTAGCAAATTAAATTTCTCATTATTTTGCAACAAGTAATTTATCTGTTGCATTAAGGTTGTTTCTGGAACAAAATTTACCCCACATAATTAAACTTTTAAAAGAAACCACAAGTACTCACTAATATAAGTGAGTTACTAATAAAGCTAAAATACGCCTAAGCCTTGTAGATTGAATAAAAATAGAAACAAAAATCACCTTGTTCAACGCTGTTAATTCCAAACTTGAGTCCATTTACAGCCGACATAACTGTAAATCAAAGACAATCAAAGATAAAAAACGATAGAAAAGCTCAGTGCCATCAACCTAAGTTCCACTTACTAAAAATAACAATATAAGAGGACAAAAATTAACTGACTTGACATAGCGGGTGTGATAACTCCTCCTGCTATCACCATAGAAATACCAAAGAGGACCAGCAGTAGCAGTAGCTTTTTTATTAATACAGAAGTTTCAAGATGTTCCTTAAGTTTTAGGGACCTCTCGAGCTCTGGTGATGGAGCTTTCAACCCGAAACTTGAAATTCGAGCATCAGAAGGCAACTGATTTGGAAGAAGATTGGCTTTTGCATTTCTGCATATAAATGAATACAAGGCAAATGTTCCCCCTACAAATTGCAGTATAACAAATCTCTTATTTATGACTAATAGTTTAAGAATACTAGATAGAGCAAGCTCTTCACATTCTTACCCATACCTTCCCCATCATCATTGCCCCACAGCACAATCAAGGCATATTTCACCAATGGTATCATGATCAATGTGTATAGAACTAGAGAGAGTGCTCCAAGAACGTCTTCCTTCTTAGAAATAGGATATTTATAAAACATAACATCAAAAGTGTATAGAGGACTAGTTCCAACATCCCCAAATACCACCCCAAGAGTCTGAATAGCAAGTATAATATTCCTACCCAAACTGAATTCCTGCAATTAAGTGAAATGGGTACCAGAAAAGTGCCATTTGGGGCAAAAAGCACAAGGAATGCTAACAAGTACACGTAATTAATAACATTAGAATCACTATAAAGTCCTACCCTCCACCAGTCAAAACTTGATAAAAATTAACTACTTTCGATTATTAACCGAATGATATATATGATCAAGAAGCTTGTAATCCTACCTCGTAGTCAGGCCTTTCGGCTCCTGAGACCTCAAGCGCCTCGACATCAAAAGGATCAATGATGGGATCTGTACGGACCAGCTTGTGCTCCTCGCCATCCTCTTCCTCCGTGTCGAAGCGACTCTGTGCTCCACTCTCCCCAGATCCGTCCTGATACTGGAAAACCCACCTGGATTCTGTCCAACCCATTTTAGCAAAGCTGCCATTCTTCCTCTCCGAACTCTCTGCCATCCGTTTCAGGTTAAAGATCACCAAAACAGCATCTAAACCCCAAAAATTCCAAAGCAGAGACTCAAAAGAGGGCACAATATGAATGAAGATGAAGAATAGGGCAAAGTCCCGACGCCAGAAAACGATCGAATAGACAACAAAGGTCAGAGATTTTTCGATCAATCGACAGGATTTCAACGAATGGATCTGACTAAAGCATAAAGCAGTGAGAAAGAAGTGAGGGAGACTGCGATTGGATTGGGTGAACAGCACCGATGGAAATTTTCAAGGAACATGTCATAAAAAATAAACTCAGAATCATGGGAAGTTCGGGACAAATGTTGAAGTATCATTTGAGAATCAGATCTCAAACGGAGAAATGTTGAAGTATCCTTTGAGTATCAAATTTTAAAATACAAAAGAATTGTGTGAATTATGTCCTATAGATGTGGAAACTAAGGGTTGGCATTTGGTTTTCATTTGCAGTTTTTTTAAAATAACTTAGTTAAAATGTAGTTGTTCGATTTCGCAGCCTGCCTTTCTTCTGTTTCGACCGCAGGTTCAATTTCCCTATGACCCCACTTCTCATCTCCTTCAACCCTGCTCCCTCTCCTGTGATTCTTCTGCTCTAAGTATCTCTCTCCAGTGAAGTCGTGGCTCTGGTGGGTATGCATTGTTTACGATTGGCTATTTTCAGTTTGCAAATGGTTGTTCCGGTGATTCTTACATTCTTCTCCCTCTCCCATTTTCTTTTCCACTTGAAATTTTGATATTTTGTGCACTCTGTTGTGAAAAAAACTACGGCAATAAAGCGAAAAATCGGATTGACAAATTCGTAAAATATAAAACAATACGGAAACACACAGATTTACGCAGTTCAACCAAATTGTCTACGTTCACGGAGCAACGGAGAATTTTATTACTCGAGGATTACACCGTCGTCGGTTCGACAATTACAAGAAAAAAATCTCTATTTTTTTCTCTCTATCTCTCCCTCTCCTTCACTCTCTATCTCTCCTTCTAAGGCCACCTAAGAAGAAATATGCAAGGATAATAAGAGAAGAAGCCTTTGGTTTTTCCTTTCACTAAGTGATCACCGAAATCAATTACACTCAAAAGGAGAAGATAATTATCGTGATGGGCTTCTTGCCCCTTTTAAAGCTTCCCAATATCCAGCTTATTTTGGCAACCCTTAAATTCGTGATTCCAGAAGAAGCATGAAATCATGTCTTAATGGCTCATATAAAGAAAAAAAAAAGCCCATTAAGGTGAGGTATCAAATTCCTTTCCTTTTTCTCTGTAGCAACAGAAGGCGGGAACTTCTTTTGCAGGCTACCAGGTGGCGGGAGATCAATACGAGTAAAGCTTAATTAAGCAATATTAATTAAACTTTCTTTACTTCTTCTTGTCAAGAAAGGCAGCTGCTTTAAATGAAAATGGGAAGCGGCAAGCTATAGCAGAGAAGAAATTACATAAGGAAATATATTTAAATAATTTCCATAAGTGTTGAGGTCTCCACCTTCCTTAACAATTCTCTCAATTGGATACTCGGACACTGACTGCATCGACCTTATCCTCAAACTTGATATCATTAACCTCTACAACTCAAAGTTCCTTGTCTTCACGCTAAACGATCAACTGAAGTCGAGCACAACTTCAGTTTCTCAAAAGTAACACCCTTAGTCGACATATCAGAGTCAAAATAGTCTTATACTTTCAAGCTCCTTTCTGGGTTACTCATGTATCTGCTGACAACTCCCACTGCATGGGAAATATTTTGCCTCTGCTGAAAGCATTTTTCAGCAAGATCAATCATGTATCTCTTACAGTCATTAAGCGCAGTTTTCACTTGGTACACCCACTTGTTGTGCAATGTCATATTCCTTGGTGAAAGTTCTGTCAGCTCCCAAGTCTGATTCCCTGACAGGGAATCCATCTCCTCCTTCATGGCCAGCTCTCACTTGTTTGATATTCCATCTAGTAAGATTTCTTCACAGCTCTGACTCATGTGACCAAGCTTGCAATGCCACAGATCTGTCGTGCTCTCTGCAACAACAGTGTTTAGTAAACTTATAGTCATATATAGTGTGTCAGTTTTCTTACATCGAGCCAGTACTAATGCTCATTTGATAAGCTTTCAGGTGTTATATGAGAACACTACTGAATGACCACCCTCAGCCCAACATAAATGAGGTTTTTTTGCAACTTTGAAATGAGCCTGACATTTTGCAAAATCTATTTGCTTTTGTTAGGAATCACAATATCAACGACTCTCATCCCACCACGTCCAAAGTTGTTCCATCAACCAGATATACCTTCTCAAAGTCACTTGCAACATAGTTTCATATCAACTCTCGGCAGGAAGATGTATGGAAGGAAGCCTCTGAATCCAGTATCCAGTCATCAAAAGAATTGTGAACTGCTAGCAATAGTGCATATTATATTTCTTCAGTTATAATATTAGCGCTATCATTCTCTTTCTTCTTGAGATTCCTGTAGTTCCTTTTTATGTAGTCAGTTTTATCACAATTTTAGTAGATTGTCTGTTGATCAGACTTTGATTTTGATCATTTTTATTTGAGTTCCTGTCCTGTGATCTCCCTCCGGAATCAACATTCAGTGTCGAACTCAAACAAGTGGTTTCACCAAAATCTTTCCTGCATACCTCCTCAACCAAAATCAAATCACAAATATAATCATATTTCAATTTAAATTTACCTGCATGATTACCTAATTATCATCCTCATGGCTTCCCAACTATTTGGCAATGAAGCCAACAATATCATCGCATGTATCCCATTATCAAAATTAATTTCAACATACGACAATTGATTTGTGATAGTATTAAAATCATTCAAGTGTAGAGCAAGAGACACCCCTTCCACCATCTTTAATTTGAATAACTTTTTCATAAAGTGCTTCTTGTTATTCGTCGATGACTTTTCATTCATACCTGATAAAATCTTCATGAGATATGCATTAGTCCTCTCCTTGATGACGTTGTGGGCAACGGATCTTGACAGGGTTTATTGTAGAATCTCCAGAATCTGTCGATCCAACATATTCCATTCCGTCTCGTCCATCTTTTATAACTTCTTTCCGAGTAACGGCAGGTGAAGTTTTTTCCCATAAATGTAGTCTTCTATTTGCATCCTCCAGTAACTAAAATCTGTGTCATTAAACTTCTCGATCCCTGATGTCATCACTTCGTCTCTTTCCATTGTTCTTCCTTAGATTTGAAACCTGACTCTGATACTAGTTGTTGTGAAAAATTACAGCAATAAAGCGAATAATTGGACCGAGAAATTCACAAAATAAAAAACACAGCGAAAACACATAGATTTACGTGGTTCGACAAATTGCCTACATCCACGGAGCTGTAAAGATTTTATTACTCGAGGATTACACCGTCGTCGATTCGACAATTACAAGAAAGAAAATCTCTATTCTCTCTCTCTCTATCTCTCCCTCTCCTTCTTTCTCTATCTCTCCTTTTAAGGTCACTGAAGAAATATGCAAGAAAAATAAGAGAAGAAGCTTCCGATTTTTCCTTCCACTAAGGTGGCCTAAGAAGAAATATGCAAGGACAATAAGAGAATAAGCTTCAATTTTTTCCTTCCAGTAAGTGATCGTCGAAAGCAATTACAATCAAAAGGAGAAGAAAATTATCGTAACGAGCATCCTGCCCCTTTTAAAGATTCCCAATATCCAACTTATTTTGGCAACCCTTAATTTCGTGATTCCATAAGAAGCAGGGAGTTATGCCTTAATGACCCATATAAAGAAAAAAACCCATTAAGGCAAGCTATTAAATTCCTTTCCTTTTTCTCCGTAGCAAGAGGAGGCGAGAACTTCTTTTGCAGGCTACTAGGTGGCAGGAGATCAATCTAGGCAAAGCTTAATTAAGAAATATTAATTAAGCTTTCCTTAATTCTTTCTGTCAAGAAAGGCAACTGCTTTAAATGAAAACGGGAAGCGACAAACTATAGTAGGGAACAGATTACATAAGGAAATAAACTTCAATAATTTCCATAAGTTTCAAGGTTGTCGATTCAAGGAAGTGGACCGAGTCTCCACATTCCTTAACACACGTTGTGCTTATGTGTGAGAGGAAGTCATTCGGATTGGTATTTCTCTTTGTTTCGGCTGGTGGTTATCGTGATGAGGTTTGTATTATCTCTTACCATCTCCACTCTCTTCTTCGGCTCGGCTTGGTGGTTGTGCGCATGACCGGCTCTCTGCGGTATTCCCGCCTCTACCTGTCTTCTCTGTTCTTCAACTTTTTCTCTCTACTCTGCGTGTGCATGCACATTATGCTAGTTGGTTTCATCTTTGTTTGCTCTATTTTGGTGATTTTCGGTTTGATAAGTTCAGTTATGTGGTTTTGATGCTTCATGTTGCATCCATACAGGTTTTGGTTTATGTATTTCATGCAATGTTGGTTGTATTTGAGCTTTGTGGTGATCTTTGGATTTTTTTGTGCTCATCCTATTAGTAATCCCTCGGGTGCCCTGTATGAAGTCTGTTCGATTTCTTTTGGTGCTTATGCTGCGAGGATTTCATATGTCTCTATAAACTTTGATATTTCAGTGGTGAATTTTAAAAATAGACGGAAATTAGTGTTGGATTTTTTAATAATAATATATTGGGTGCTATATATGTGTTGAATATGAGCTGGAAACATGAATTTTGAAGTTCAGTAGGAATTTCATGTTGGTTTTATATGTTGTTGTTTTCAATTTCACTGGAAGTTCGGTGGGAAAATTGGATGTATATTTCTATTATTATTGGACATTTCACTAGAATTCCATGCTGGATTTGTATACCGCTGAAATAACCGGAATTTAAAGCTTGATTTTCATATTGTTATTTTCAATTCCAGTGGAGTTGGTGGTGTAGGAGAGATGGTGTGGGGTGGAGGTGGTGATGTAGGGTGGTTGTGTGATGAGGAGGTGGTGGTGTGGTTTGTGGATGTGTTGGTGAGCGGTGTGGAGGTGGTGGTATGGCGTGTGGATGTGTTAGTGTGGCGTGAAGGTGGTGGTGTGCAGTGAATATTTGCGTATAAAATATATTAATCTAATAATTTATTGCGAACAATGTTACAATACAGAGGCTAAACGATTATTTGTCCATAAACACCTACAGTAGAGTGGTTTTCAAACTGCAAAAGCAAACAAACAATCAGCTTATCCGCAGTAGCTTCTGTGCAACATCTTACTATTAGCTTGCAACTGCCCCAAACAGTGCCTAAGTCTCGTATATGCACAAACATTCTACTTCATTACAAAAAATTTTTAAAAATCATTAGAGGGATAATTAGATACAGACCTTTCTGAGATACTAATATTTACAAAATAATCATTTATGTGATTTTTTTTTAACTACTGAATCGATGTATTTATGGTTTCCCCAATCAAACTATTGAGAATTTGATAAAAATAAAACCGATATGTTCACAGTTCTATCATGAAGTTTGATATTTAAGTAAAAATCTGAAAAATAGATTAAAGAGAGCAGTTAATTAGTAAATAGAAAGTTCCATGTGGTCTATATGTAACTACACCTAGACTTAACAAAGAATGATTTTAAATGCACACTTAAATTAATTAATTTTTAAAGTTACATTTAGAATATTGAAAATCTAATTTCAAAAATATATAGTGGAGCAGAATAAATTGACAAACCGATTTTAATTACATGAAAAATGATGCGATCCAAATCTAAATCAGTCGAAATCAAATACTTGAAATATGATTTAAATTTTAGAACATTAGTTAGATGGCCAACAATCTCCAATATTACATATTTTTTATCAAATGAAATGTCTCCATGACATACAAATAGCTAATTGTGTATGTGTGTTCTTCTATTTGTAAGCTGTATTCGGACTCCGTGTACAATATTATTGTATTGATATATAACATATGCATCATTGTATACTATCATACAACATATGTATAACATTGTTGTGCACGTAGAGTATAGATGCATCCGGACTCACACATAGTAATTTTTTCCACGTGTGTATGCGTGTATTTTTGCTTGTAAGCATGCATCAGAAAAATTTATTTTACAAGATTTTATGTGAGAAAATGGTCAAGAATAACAACGAGGTCAGCTTAATTAAGTGATAAATACATTATAATTAATTAATTAATCAAATTTTATATTAACATATTGTAATCATAAATTGAATAAATTTGAAATTCATACTGATCAAAAACTGGTTCAGAGGTTCCTCACTCATTTTCTTTCCTAAACATTAGTGAGAGAAAATCCTGACTCAATTATTTTGAACAAGTAATTATTATTTTTCTTTAATTATCCTGCCACTGTCATAATTAGAAAAAAGTTTATTAAAATGCGAGTGATAAATTAAATTCTAATAGTGTGTATATATATATATATATAATTATTTTATGATTCTATCAATTTATTATATGATTAGTTATGGGAAAATTGCCTTTAATATAATGCAATTTTCTTATAAAGAAATTATAGAGGGAATGATATGCAAGCTGAAAGCTGCATTTAATCTTCCTCAGACTTCAATAGAGGGTATAATGTCCTTTTCCTACATTTGTTAATGAGCCAACGTTCGGAATTAAATGAGCTTTTTTTTTAATTGAGAATATTTTTAGGAGATGGGCACATCCATGATGTAATTAACTATAGAGGAATCAAATTACTTAAAACCAATATTAAAATAAACACTATCATAACCGTGATTATATAAGAGAGATTTCTTTAGTTTATATAGACCCATCAATTTTGAGGTCCTTAATTATTAAGTGATTGACTCCATTATAAAATATTCTTTTGTACTTATTAGTATAGTATAATATTCTTAATATCATATTCAATTACCTAAATAAGATTTTCAAAAATTTGTGTGGTGTAATATATTATTCTACTAAGTTTTTAATGCACAAAATAAATTACTTTGATTTATTAAAAAAAATGTTTCTGATCAATAAAAGAATATGCTTAATATAAAATGACATGAAGAATTAAATCAAAATAAAATGAGTATTTTAATCAACATAATAGAAATTTTTTAAAAATAAACTCATACTAGATCTAGGGATGTACTGGTTAACCTATTCTATTTGGAAACTATTTAGAGGTGAGGTTAAGAGAGTAATGCAATGTTAAATTTATTTAATTGTGTACTTGTGTTTTCGTTACATTAATGACATGTGATTGGATAAAAATATGCTTATCTATAATTAGCATGTGAGAAATATATTACCTTTTATTTTGCCCAAAATAAGTTGTCCTAACACATAAAAATTGGTGCCAATCATTGAACATATCTTTAAATATAAGACATTATCATGAATGCATATCAATCATTAAAAAGATCATTAAATTATGTCAACATAGGTTTGTTGTTTTAGATCTAAAACATAATCTAGAACAATTCTCTTTGGTCATTAGGGCACTAAAGATGTCATTAAATCTTTCATGCTGCTAAGAAGTAGTAATCAATTTAATTTTTAACATTGGCAATGAATGTCTGTCAAAATGGAAGAAAAAGACATTTGCTCTTAATAGTTTCCTTAAATTTTCCATAAGCTAATCACAAGCTAGAAGCCTTTCATATATATGATCTATCCTTCTCATTTATAATGACACACATGCCTTACAACTTGATAAAGAAAACAACATCATAACTTGATTTATGTATGATAAACCTATTTTAGAACAAGAGTAAATGAGATGGTCACATCATCATAACTTCATTTATATAAGATACACACGTAAGCACGCACACACAAACATACATCATAGACGTGAATTTGCACCCGTAAAATTTACCGTGCCAGCTTTGTTCCCGTTTACCCAAAGCATGGTTCGGTCGGCTTTGTAGAGGACGAGGTTTTCTGTAACTTGGATGAAACAAGCCGTGTCGACCGCCTGCTGGGAGTCACTCCACCAGAGCTCTGTTCCACGAAAATCTGACAAAATGACTATCTTACAATTCCTTCGTATTTTCAGACGGCAACGATCTTTTGCTCCATTATAATTTATATTCGTCTGCCAGATTGGATTTGGAAGCGTGGTGTCTCTAAAATAGGCGTTACAGTCTCTCCGCATTTCGAATATGTACCGGCCTTGGTAGTTGATGCTGAATCCTGCAGGCATAAATTGTGTCTGCAGCAAATAGATGTTGCCCTGAGTTGTGGATGGAAGGCTCGTAGGTATTAAGTTTGCAGTGAAGAGGAGGAGGAGGAGGACGTTGGGGGAGGGCGATGGAGGAGGAGCCATGCTTGCTGCTACTTTCGCGTGCCGTTCATTTATACTAAATATATTTATGTATATATATAATAACTAGGTTGAAATATATGACTTTTATTCTTACACCTGGATGATAGATTGGGACACAAATGTTCCATCTGTTGAAATACTATTTAATTTAAGTTAATTAGTATTACTCAAAGGCTGAAATTTTCACCTTTTTTAATTGCAATTCAATAAAAATAAGTTTTTTTCCTTTTTTTTTTTTCTGCTTTTACAGTTCAACAATAAAAATGAGCCAATAACTTGCAACTTTGGGATTGTTTTTGTTTATTTCCTTATTCTTATTTTATTTTATTTTCAAGGCATTAGTTCATGAAATTAGTAATAGTTTTTTTTTATAAAAAAAATTGATTTACTTTTAAAAATATAGATAATAAATTTTGAATATTTCGTAAACTTTACAGAACAAAATTCTAAATTCCAAACTTATCACTTCTGAATTTGAACCACATAATATGAAGAAGATGACATTTAGCCACACAATCTTAACTTATTTTATAGAATATATGTGTGTGTCATATATCGACAATATCTAATAATATATACAAATGTGCATGTAAATGTGAAAAGACATATACATATATATAAAAGTAATGTCATACAAACTATAAGAAGTAAATACAACTTATCTCAATTTGATCCCCAAGCAAATCCCTTGAAATTCCTTTGAATTCTCCTCCCTTTACAACAACACAATTCTCTCTTTAGATAAGTAAGGAAGAAGCAATCTCTCATTCTCCTTCTCCTCCTACACTCCTTAGAGAGGAATCCTTCATAACACTCTTACAAACCCTAGCTCATGAGTCTCATAACACTCTCCAAACAAGACAAAACACTTCCCACAAGACTCACACCACCAAACTAGGGCGCCAAAAACACTTTAAATTTTTTTAGAACAAATTTCCTAAGAGATTCCTTGAGCAACCCTCCAAAATCCGTCCAAATACATTGAATTTGGGCTCAAACAGACATCGAGCGTCGTCGGCGCCAGTAGGCAAATTTGTCTAACTTGCATCTTTTCACTCCAAATTCGTTCCTTTTTGCTTTCTTTTGCTCGAAATGCCTTAAATCATCACACCTGCAACAAAACATGATAAATATCTTCCTTTAAAGTGCAATATCCTTCCTTTAAAGTGCAATATCATTTAAAGTGCAATATCACCAAAAATGACTAAAAATACATATGAAAAATCCAACATATTTTTGGTGTGTCAAGGAGAAATAAAAAACATTATGAAGTTTCTTACACCGAAGTGGGTTGGGCAACCATATTGTCTAACAATTGCAAATATTCAACAAGTTCAAACAATGTAAGAACTTGTTGATAGTATCTGACTTGGACAACATATCTGTTGCAATTTCATCATATGATTCAATATAGCGAACTTCATCTACAGCTGTACTCCCCAAATGTTTATAGAAATTACATGCAGTGATTTTTCCTTTCATCACAGTCAATGCACCTTTAACAATTCTAATGCTTTCTCTATCCTCATTTGTCTTAGGAATAAAACAATTTTTTTTTGTAAAGTGCATAAGTAAATTAAATTCTTCTTCAAATCTAGAATATGCCTTACATTACATAATGTTCTGACAGTGTCATCATACATCTTATTTCTGACTTTATAAATACCACCAATATTGTAACATATATCATCACCCAAATAAACTGAATTAGAATCAGATAACCTGTACGAAGTAAACAATTTGCTGTTAGGTGTTATGTGATAAGAGCATTCTGAATCAAGAATCCATGCATCATGAAACTGGGTTGTTGTAACTGAAAGTACATCACCATTACTTTAATCTGTAATGACACTCTGCATCATATTCATGGATTTGGAAGATATATCATGTTTTTCATTAAACTACTTCATGAGCTTTAAAACTTCATGAGCTTTAAATAATCTCTCTTCATATGTCCCGACTCCTTGCACTTGCAGCAATGAATTGTCTTTCTGCCTTTATAACTTTGACCTAGAATTTTGCATTCCAGAGCTCTCCTTCTCCTCCTTCCTTACACGATCCAAATTACCCTTAGCATATAAACAATTACCATAAGAGATTTCCTTTCTGCTTCCGATGGTTTTGATCCAACAATATTGCAGTAATCTCATCAATTTTGATTGTTCAATTTTGATTGTTTATTTCCTTATTTCCCATATATAAGAGTAGTCACCAGATGTTCATAGGAGGAAGACAATGAACACAACATAATCATTGTTCGATCTACATCCTTAATACTCACATCAAGACATGCCAGATCTGTAATTATTTTATTAAAGACATTCAAATGTTGTGTCAGATCAGTGTCTGTCTGCATCTTCAACCCATACAATCTTTGCTTTAGATATAGTTTATTCGTCAGAGATTTGGACATAAACCGAGATTTCAATTTTTTCCATACTTCTCCTGGAGATTTCAGATTCACAACATGATACATAATCTCATCTGTCAGACATAAGTGTATGGTACTTGCCACTCATAGTTGCAATTCTTACCAACAAATCTTTCACCATTGTTTGTCACAATTCGAAGTTTCAAGTTCCATCGAACTTCACTATCTCGAATTTTGCACCAGACATTGCTATTTGAAATTAATCCTGCAGCAAACTTTTCTCGTCTTGTGTCGAAACAAAAACACACCGCAAATAAATTCAAAAAAACCTGAAATTTTTTCTGTCAATCGCAGCAATTTTCCTGCAATTCTGCTGTGATTCATGAATCAAATTTTTTACACGAAGCATTTTTCTTGTTTGTGTCAACACCACGGCTAAACTGTTGTCTTGCAAGTCGAAATACTTGGTCTATTCGCAAAACACATCGCGAAATACCTCTGCGAAACCACTGTTTGCGAATAGTCGCACCTGCTCACTTTTCCTGCACCCTGCCGAACTCCACTTGTCGCAAATCCTTCTGCGACAAATTTGCGAACTTCGTTGGATGAACTCCTCTGTTCACAAAACGAACTTGCGAACTCCTCGCTGGCCGAGTTCCTCCTGTCACAGAAGAAGCCCTCTCGCCTCTGCTAGTCGTGTGAACCCGTTGCCTCTACCGCGAACTCTTGAAGCAGAAATTGTTGAACTGCCGCAGACCTTTATCTAAACTGCTTAGCACCTGTTCGTTCCCGCGAGCCCATCTGCCTTGCGAACAATTCACAAAATTTGCGAACTCTTTCATCTGGATGATGCAAACCGCTCCTTCCCACAATTCGCGAACTCCTCTAGCAGCGGGAACTCCTCCTTGCACGCGACTCACGAACTGCTGTGACGATTCACTATCGCGAAACCGAACTCGCGAACTCCTCTATGCCTTGTGATTCCTCTGTGAATCGAATGCCGAACAATATGCCTGTCGCGAATGTCGAACACTAAACTCCTCTGCGCTCGAATGGTTGAAGTGTCTTCCTCTGGGCCGAAATCGAAACTGCCTCCAACCTGGTCGAAAACCTTCATCGAAGTCAAATTCCGAACTCCTGCCGTGTGTCGCGAACTGTATTTCAGCGAAGCCCTCCGCGACTCGCAGTTCGTCAAATCCCCTGTGCCAAACTTTTTCTTGTTTGTGATCTGATACCAATTGTTGATAAATTAGGACAAAGAAAAACAAGAATCCACACAAATTCAGAAGAACACAGAGATTCAACGAGGTTCGGCAAAGATGTCTACGTCTTCGGGTGCAGAGAGACAAATTCAATATTACAGAGGAGTTCAATTCATACCCATAGGGTTACACATCATATATATAGATAAAAAATCTACATATAAAATTACCAACACACCCTCGCTCCCCCCAACTCACTAAATTCCAAGAGACACCTCTTCAATTCCAATAGACACTCCTCTTCATTTCAGGAGATACACATCTTCAATTCCAAGAGACTCCAAATTTTGGTATATTAGTCATATCTAACAAATCTCCACCTTGGTGAATATCCAGCCCATTAGGAGAAATATATAGACATAACACCATTAGACAATGTGATCGTGCTCGACAAAAAAATGAACTCAAATATGACGCTAATTTTGCATTGATCTAATGTCCGGCGCACTGATATTGACTCTAAAATACAGCTTTTCTGTAGTGTATATATCCAATTTTTTTATGTTTTCTATAGCAGATTCTTTTTTTTTGGTCTAATAACAACATCATAATTGGATTATTACTTAATTTTTTTCTTAACATATTAGCTGCCATTCTAATTATTTATGAAGAATTATTCAATGAAGTGTGTTAAAATTTATATTAACCCATTCTATTTTTTTTTAATGAAAATTATTAATATATTTATTTTCAAATTTGGAAGAAATTTAATTCCGTCCTTTTTTATTAATAATGAAAATGAAAATCAGTAAAGATAGCTTTATTTCTAAAATAATGAGTTATAAATAATCACCCATATATATCCAATTATTTTTTTTTCATCTAATGACAACGTTATAATTAAATTGTTACTTAAACTCCTTTTGAATATTAAATTTAGGAAGAATTATTCGATGGAGCAAGCTAAGATTGGAAAAATTATTGCATACGGACACCGCATGTAAAGATGTATGCGGTGTCCGATCTACACCGTAGATCACGGTGATCTATGGTGAGGATGCAATCAAAATTTTTTTTAAAAAAAATAAAAAATAAAAAAAGTTTAAGTGGGGCTCACTGGAATACATCATCACCGTAAATCACCGTGATCTACGGTGTAGATCGTGCACCGTAGGCATCTCTGCACGCGGTGTCCGTATGCAATAATTTTTCCTAAGATTGTGTGGTTAAATGTTACCTCCATATTGAATGGTGTAAATTCAACTTGGTGAGTTTGGAACTTAGAATTTTAATCTATAAAATTTACAAAATATTTAAAATTTATATTCTGTATTTTTAAAAGTAAATCAATTATTATTTTTAGGTAGTATTTCAGGAACTTATTTTCTGAAAAAAAAAACAATTAATAATAATTAAATAAACTAATT